TCTTTATAGCCGACAACCTTACATCCGAGACTGTTCTTCCCCAAAAAAACAACCCAGTATGCTGTTTGTACACAGAGCATTTTACGACCCATATTTACATTTATTGTTAGCCATCAACTTCTAATGGCCATAATAACTATGATGGAAGCAAAGGGTGAGGTCAGGTGAAGTGGTATAAAGAGCAACAGTGACTGTGTACAGAGGAGGTCAGGGTGGATGGGTCAAACAAACCTGGGACTTTGACCCTGCAGATCGCTGTTCCTGTCCTGTATCAAACCATATATCAACGTTGAGTTATTTTAAGTCATGTGTGCAACTGAACTTAGGTAACGTGCTTACCTTAAAGGGCCAGTGTGTAAAATGGGTTGAAAGCAGTGACATCAGTGGTCAAATTCTAGATTGCAGGGCTCACTCGCTCACCCCTCCCGTTGGGTAAATGACGGTGGCCTCGTAGGGACAAAAAGCCTTGCGCACAAGTTTTTCAGGAGTAGGTCTATCTAGCGACGAGGTGAATATTTATTTAGAAATCTAAGCCATGTTATGATATTGTAATGAATCCCTCACGATCAGGAGACCAGAGTAGCGTTCGGGAAAAAGGCCAGTTTATTTGAGCACTCCAAAAACTCTGGTAACACTCCAGGGGGTAAAAGACTCCGTCCCAAACTCTGACTCTTCTAGCGTAACAGACACACTTCATACACACATACTCGTTTACCATACCGAGTGGGGACCCTCTCCCCTCTCTGCTCCACCAATCTCCAGCCCGCACACTGACTGACAGCGTAGCCGGTAAACAGAGCTCAGCTGTTTATTTAGCCTAGCAATATCTCCGGACTATAGTAGCTGCAACGGACGACTGAAGAGTTTGAAGAGTTTCTTGTAGCGGACACAGACCCAGAGCCATACCTGTTTGAGCCGGAGCATACAGATGAGGAACTCCATGTGTTTGATGCTGAGCCGGCAAGAAGAGAGGCTGAATCCTCCGCTCCCATTTTGCTGCACAGAATGGGATTCGGTGCTACTGCTACCATCGTTGGGGAGATGTATCACCAGGAGGAAAAGCGCCGCAGAGAGTGCATCACAAGGAGTGAAGTTGCGTCTTCTTTTCTTCGCAGATGACGGTTCGGGTTCATTCTCTCCTGTTGCGTAGTAAGTGTGGTCCATTCGCAAACTTTATAAATAAATAAAGGTTTCACTACTCTCTATCGACGAACTACTAACACTCTGCTGTTTCCTCCTCCTTCTTCCTTCCTTCCGCTGTCTTCGTTGGTTCAGTGACAACTTCCCTGGTGTGGACACCACTGTTATTACAAATTACCCCTTCCTTAACACCTCCTAACATTACTAATTACATGGCGAGCCGATAAAAGTGTACAGGAGTCTAGAGGATGATGACTATTTTGTGTGCGGTTGGGTCTGTCCTGATTTTGGGCAGGTGGGTAAATGTGCTTGGGAGTAGCTGTCTTTTATATTTCAACTCTGTACATGGATGCACCACTGTCAGGCTAATGTTACTAGCTAACTTTAGCTACTGTTTTCTACCTATTAGGTCAGCTGTTCCCAGAGGTCTGGTAAAACCTAGGTCGACAAAGAGAAGCTGTCACAGGACAGTGAAATGTGTACCAAATGTCAACGTTGAGTTATTCTTAATCACGTGTGCGACTAAACTTAGGTAAAGTGCTTAACTTAAGATACATATGTAATGTACTTTAACTTATGTACATAACTTAATTTACATAAGAAAAATACTCATGTTAACCCAAACTGTGATCTTTTCCTAAACCATTTGACAACGTTGAACACGTGTTTAAAATTGCAACGGCTGATGATTATACATGTTGTTTTGGGAGACATTGGCAAATGACCTCTGTTACTGAGGTATGAGGACGTGTTGATCTACTGCCACTGGTAGGAAAGCTAATACAGAAAACGCTCCTGTGGGTTGTATTAGAGGGTAAAACCAAACACCTATGTGGTCATACGGGTTGGAGGACTTATTGGACATTCAGAGTAATGTGAACCACTTTTGTAGCTCTTGGGTGTCCACATTGTTTAGTCAACCCATGCATATGGCTCTCTCTGTATTTACGAACATCACTTTGGGCTTGTAAAAACTTATAGTGCACCTGCTCGGCTGTGACTCATTGGAAACTCTTGTACATCTTAAGCAACATGTAGAGTTATTGTATGTTTTTTTTTTTTTAAAAAACGTGGTTCCTTTCAGTGTCCTGTTTCGGTCATGATCACCAAAGACAGGTTATTACACAAACTAGTACAACTTGCAGTTCTAAGAATACGCACTGGCAATAGACGTTTTAGGAAATCCGGCTGTTTCTTCACCCTGCAGCCACAGAGAAACTATGTATGGCAGCTCAGCCTCCACCTGCTGCAACAGGGCACAGCAACAGTCTGACCGTGAGGGCTGAGGGGTAACATCTCCATCCCAGAAAAATCTCATAAAGTTGGAATATGACACAATGTTTGAGGACACAAAAAGCCAAGAGGAGCAGGAGAGAACAAAAACCTGACACACTGAACTAGTAAAACACTAACACACACACTGACACACACTCAGGCAGCAGTGGCAGCGACCACAGCGCACCAGGAAAAACATATCCAGATGTTCTCCTCATAGGATCACCAACCCCCTCCCTCCCACTCACACACTCACACACACACACACACACACACACACACACTTGCGGGCCACACATGGGCTACATATTACAGAGGCTTGCTCTCCAACTTCTTTTCCCTTCTTTTTTCATGCGCACACACACACACACACACACACACACACACACACACACACATTTGTACAACTATCTTTGTGAGGACTCTCTTTGACATAAAGCTTTCCCTACAGCCCTGACCTGAACCATCACAACTAAATCCCTAACTCTAACTGTAAGTGGTGGCTTTGGTGGGGGTGGGGTGTTGCTTCAGGTACCAATGAGACATGAAATATGATCCAGGAAAGTCCAGTTTGAGTGACACATCCATTAGTTTGAGGGCTTATCAGATGCCAACATGCTGCACAGGGGCCTCACTCCTAAACTGACCTGGGACTGCAACTTAAAATTATTTTCATTCTGATTATTTCCTTGATTGAGTCCAATGCGATGTCTAGTTTTGTCTGAACAAAAGTCCAAACCTCAAAGATATTCAATTCACAATGATATGAATTCATTTTCTGTTGACTAATAAATGTTTTAGGATTTGTTCAATGTTTTTAGCTCAAACCCACACCAGATGTAACTTTAACCTTTATCTTGTGTTCCCACTACAAGTGACAAAGCAACAGCATGGCCTGCCGAGTTGTCGTTGATATGTTGCTCAAGTGCTCGTTGACGCAGTTACGTCACCCTGGGGTTTTATGCGTCTGCTACTAACAGAGCACCTTGACTAAATGTCATCTAAAGTTGGTATTAGTCTAGGGATGTCAACGGTTAAACCAATTAACAGTTAATCACCAAGAATATTTTTGACCGGTTGAGCATGTCGATGTATGAATTAATTTTGCTACTCTTCAGCTTACTGCACTGCACACCATCTGGGTCTGCAAGACTGAGCACCATTTTAACGTTACATTTCACCGCTCTATAGCATCCCTATGTACAGGGCAACACAGAGAAAGCTAGTATGGCTTCAGCTCACGTAGCTACGTACCACTATACCACAGCTAGAAACCAAAACATGTCATTGGTTAACGCTTCATTGGAGCGCTGAAAATAGTTAAGGTCAGCTCAACATTGATTTGTAATGCTTCCCTTTGATACGCAGTGACAAGTTTTGGTCCTCAGTTTGTTGCTTCATGTCACTGGCTTCCACTGGAAATGACTTTTAGCCTGTTGCTGTGCCGCAACACAGCATTAAAACAAATCTCAATGCTCAAAAAAACCTTTGAATGTTTCGCCTTAAAGGGAGGACCGGCCAAAATGTCCTCATTTTGCAGAAGTGTCCTCACTCCCTAGGTTTAAAACTAACCTTGGTCCCCACAAAGAAAAACAAACACACACACACACACAGAGTCAAGACTCGCAGTTATTGAACCCACTCTTTCAGCCCCTCCTATCCTCCACTAGAGCTCCTGGCAGGCCGTCTGGTTGAGGCCCATAGTAAAGGGAACCGTTTTCTCTGGCATGAGTGCGTGTGTCTGTGTGTGGTGTGTGTGTGTGTGTGTGTGTGTGTGTGTGTATGTGTGTCCTCAGGCCCCAGACAGGAAGGAAGAGAGTGGGCCCGGCAGCACAGCTCCAGAATTCCGGTTTTGTTTTTCTTCTTTTTCCATCAGTGCAGAGCCTGAGCCGGGTCTTAAAGAAACAGTCATTAATATTTTAATGGCGCCAAACTGTTCTCTGAGACCTCCACAATAGGACTCAGTATGATTCATTACATTAGTATGTAAACATATTACCGGTTTGTTAAATAAAAAAGTCGAATGAATGAATAGGTCTTTTATGGCTCAGATGAATCTGTTCCTCCAGAACGCACAGCGGGCGTCTAAGCGTGGCCTCAGGCTCATTTTCATTGAAGCTTCTAAAAATAAAAGTACTGATCCAGCATCAGTGGTCAGGTTACGTAAATTACTTGGGGGAGTGAAACATAAGGATTTTGGACACAAGCAGGGCAGGCGTATTTAGCCGCCACCTCCATGTTTTTGTAATAAATTGTCACTCTGGCAAAGAAAGGGTTGAAAATGAGCGGCAGATGACACAGCTCACAGCTCATGATCTTAACATCACTGCTGAGGACAATAAAGACACAACAGTCGTGACTACTTAGGTAACTGCTTGGGCTCTGTGGACCAATCCGAGCAGGAAACAGTCTCTTAAAGAGTAACCCGGTGACATCATCAACTTGGCAACAATTATGAAAACAAACTCTTTCAGTCATTCCACAAACAGAGCTCAGTGTTGTGAAAGAGCAATCATTTTATCAACTAGTTTCAAGTCGGAGATAAGAGTTAAAAACATTTATTAAGAAGGTACACAGTCAGTTACTTTCAGTGTATAAAAATTTAAGACACAGGATATAAAAGGACGGAACAAGACGCTTGTCTTTAAACTGCAGTAGTTCCAATCAGCTGTTCTGCACTTACAGAGCACAAAGTCCAAAAAGCACCATCAGTTTAACGTAAAGTATAAAACTGCTGTTATTTTACATTTTGTTTAATTGTAAACAATCTATAAAGAAAACCAAATCTACCAACATGTTAGTTCATCTCTCAGAACATCCTGGCTTTCCTAACCTGTGTGTTGCTCTCAGCTGTAGGCCCATCCATTCCCAGGTTCAATCTCTAAAAACAAACATTACTGAAAAAGAAGAATTTCCTGAGTGGATTTTCAGGCCTGGATTAACACCTATTTGCTGCACTAGTCAGTATTTACTAAGGATGCACCAAGTCAGCCTCTCTCCTGATACAGACTTCAATACCTCAGCTCAGACACAGAGCTTAAACTGCACACCAGTACTCATTGAAATAAAATTTAAGTAAGGTAACATTAGGCCAAGCGTTGCTGTGGTACATCCTGGAACTGATAGTGGAAACGCAACATTTTTATCATGACACTGACAAAGAAAGTATTTATTGTGGTGAGTGACGTCACGGCCTAGCCCAGTTTGCATAATTAGGTCCATACTGGTGCGCAGATACCAATCCCACGTATAAAATCTGTGTATCCCCAATATTTACAGCAGGAAAACAGTGTATTTGGGATTGACTAAAACAAATTTACTTCATCAAAAGCAACTGTGTGGCTCAGTGATGTGTGAGAACAGTGGAGGTCTACGTCACCAAACAAAAAACTGTATTGCGCTTGTATTGATATGAGAATGAATTCGTTTTTGGTTTTTGGTCTTTTTACAGATTTGTCAACAACAGGAAAGATATAAAACATCACCAGACTTATTCTTAAAAAAACAAAACAAGCTTACCAGTCTGGACACAATAAAGGCACCATGTTGGCTTTGGATTAATGATTTGGTTTGTCGATTTAAATCACTGCTTCTACTAATGATGGTAGATGAATGGAGGACAGCACATTTAGTGAATTAGGTCAAATTCAGGCTCCTATTTTATTGACTTTGACAATGAGCCTCTTTTTGCAATTTGAAAATGATTTAATGCCTGCACAGGCCTGAATGCAACTTAAGCCCTCTACGCACAGGACTAATATTAATATTACCTGGGGACCTCTTGTAATTTGTAATAATTGCGACGGATGTCTGTGATCTTAATCCTGCGCAAATCTGCAATGTCCATAATATGTTCCACTCTCAATACATAGCATGGAGAGAGTTTTACAGAAAGAGCATGCTCACATCATTCAGGAAAGCAAAAGCTGAAAAGATGATGAGATGGATGATGTGGTGGCAGAATCAGCTGTTTGCTTAAAAAAAGGAGGTGAACACAATATATATCTCCACTAGTGGTGCTATGTAGTGTTTCTGTGTTGTGTTAAGCACAAATGACTGTGTGCATCATATCTGCAGGCTAATGTCAGTGAATTCAAATAAAAAAAATAAAAGACTTTGTTTATTCTGTGCGAATACACTGAATGAAATACAAGCCCCTTTTGTGCTGCTGGTTCAAGGTGGGAATGTCGTGTCATTATTCCGCCTTGCAGTTCTGTATAAAAGACACGATCGCGGATAAGGGGACAGAGTTATCTTGCCTTTATGCCGGCAGCAGAGGTGGTAACAACACTGATTTGGGGTCTGTAAAAGGTAGAGCCCCCTGGACGGGACCATGGACAGGACAGGTGTGATGTTTTGACAACATGTTGTGAGTGCAACCCACTGCCGGGAGATTTAAACAGCAGTTAGAAGCTAACTCAAAGAGGAACAGCAGCTGAAAATGTTCGCAAATTGGGGGGGGACAATGAGGTCCATGAGCTTCTTACTCTCTGCGCAGAAGACAACATAAGCCACCTTATTACAGGGACAGTAAATGATTGTTGTTGCCATGTTATGCCACTGTTATTGTTCAGAAAACACCGCCCTACGCATGTGCTGTAAGTCACGCTGGAGACCGACGCTGTTGTGTTTTACATCATACCTGTCACGGCTCTTTTGCTTCCAGAACGCCAGCATGCTTTCGAAAATCACACACTGGAGCGGCACGATGCTGCATTGTTTGATTCTGTACTAAAAACCAAAGCCAGTGTGATGCAGGGACATTGTTGCAGCTCTGTGGCGGGATGTCAGTGTAAAAAGGGCTACAGACGTGGGTGGGTCATTTCTGAATCACACAAGGTCCCCTGGTAATACTAGTGCTGTATGACTAGGGTTTACAACAATGAGTGTGCTTCATGGACATGTTGGTTGTGTATACCAACATGTCCGCGTGAGCCTGCACATACATGAATACAGAGTTTTAAAATTGCCCACACGAGTATCGTAAAGGCAAGTGCAAAAGTCTCTTGCATGTGTCTAAACTTTTGTAGAGGCAACCCATCGCACGCACACACACACACACACACACACACACACACACACACACAGTGGCTACTAGCAGCAGGTCCTTCGTCAGCAGAAAAGGGACTGCTCTCTCAGCACTCTTGTAGAAGAACAACTTCTCTAATATTCAACTCCTTCACTTCAGATATCTCTTTGTAAAATAACCAGACACAGAACATCAGCAGCAAGGCTCGCTGTGCATTTTAAGTCCAGTCAGGAAAAATCGGTTCGGGACTGTTTGCTAGATCGCACATTTTAAGTGTGATCTAACAACAATGACAGAGTACTGCATACGTGTTTCTGTTAATGGTGTTTGCGTGACCCAGTTTCCCCCTCACACCACATCTCAACCGCTCTCTGGTGCCGCCATCTTTAGGCCTCCTCTCGTCTCTGGAGTTGCAGACCGATCTCCATCTGGTTCTCCAAACACTCCTTGAGCTTGTCCTCTGTCAGTGTCAGCCGCTGCTCCAAGATCGAAACCGTCTGGATGGAGAGGAACAAGAGGCGAGGGACAAGACAAAGAAAGAAAAGGGGGGAAGGAAGGAGATGGATAAGAGAGAAAGGGCATGTTAGAGAGGGCTGTACAGCATCAGCCTGACAGTAATGACTATATAATGGCCGTGTGTGTGAGGCCGTGTGTGTGAGGCAGTTCTGTGTGTGTTTGAGACAGATGTTGTGCGTGCAAGACAATCCAGCTGATTATCGTAGGGAGATCTGCTGCCTGAGCCGAAAACACCAGAGTTTCTGTGTCTGGCACGCACTCTCTCTTGTTCTCCCGCTCACACAGTTGCATAAACACACTTACGCACACAGAGAATACAAGAAGGTCGCTATCCGAAACAGGACGGGCATGTGTGGGTAGTGAGATCACAGTACGACATACTTTTCCTCTCAGCATCTGTGACAGTGACAGTATTTGTTGTGCATTTGTGTCATCTGAGCATGTTTATCAGAGGTCTCCAGGTGTAGTTTCACCATCTGAATGAACCGAGTGCTGGGCTCAGAGCTGACTTGTCTTATCGTTTATTGTATCTAAACTTCTGAAGCCACATTAAGGAAATAATTTAATGAGCCTTTTGTCATCTCAAACAAATAGAAAGAATTAGGGGATTCATGTCCGGACAAGTTCTAGATGAGCTCTAACATGAACCAGGAGAACTGAGCCCAGTGCTACAGTACTTAAATGTTTATACAGGCTTCCAGTTAGTTAACTAAGCTGCTGAATGTAGCTACATTTTGACGTCAGGGATACACGTAATCTTCGTTGCTGATGTTAATGTTCCTTTGATTTCTGATCATATTATACTACTGGAACATGTCAAGTTGTGTTTAGAAGCTTTTATTGGTCATTTTTATGGTAGAAAGTACCACTGTTCTTCATTACAGTCATTCTCCGTCTGCAATGATGTGCAGAGACGCCAAGATACAAACAACTCGCAAACACTGACCAGAGCAGACTGTAAGAGTATGAGTGTCACAGTATGAGGAAAATAAAGTGTTTTTTTAACATTAATCCAGATAAACATGCTCTAATAGAAACCTTAAATACAAATATGAACCTGAAAATGAGCACAATAGATCACAAACTGTAGGCTTTGTAGGTTTATCTTAACATAAAATTACTCCTTCTGGTGATGGATATTTTGTTTAGATAAACCGAAGACAAACTGAGGAAACAATAATGTGTGAATTACTGTTTATCTTACACAACCAAGATGTAAATGTTGCATAACAAACACACTTTCAGATCTAAATTTAAAAACCTATTATTCTGTGCCCTCTACAGCACTTTTATTTCCTCCTGTATTAGTCTATTATCTGTCAGTATCTCTGTTTACATCACTTCTGTTGTTTCGCTGTATTCTATTTTGTTTTTTATAATTTTCCTTACATAATGCAAAGCACTTTAAATGTCCTCTGTGTGTGAAAGGTGCTACACAGAGAAGCAATTATAAATATGTACCCAACAGAACACACAAGGACACGAGTCTGAAGTGTTCATTGATACTTCGGCTTTTTGCTCTTTTTTAAAAAAGGTAAACTAACCAATAAATAAATCTGCAAATCTGAACCAAAGAAATCTGCAGGAGGAAAATATGATAAAAAGGAGCAAAGCAGTATAAAAAAAAACAAAAACATGACGATCTGAATGGATCTTCTTCTGAAAACACCACAGTGGCAACAGCTCCCTCTGCATCTCTGACATAATTGTTTACTGAGCTAATGTTGCCTGGTGACAAACACAATCCCGGCTTGTAAGCAGTTTTAGACAGTAGTGCTTGGCAACAAAAATTTGGTTCAAGGCAGGAACAATCGTATGGTAAACATGTCTCCCCTTTCCACAGACAAGGCTCTCTAGATTTGGGCCAGCGAGTGAAAGATATGTCAACATGTCTCGACCTGTAATTTTACGTCCCTCCCTGTGCCAGCGAGTGTAATTTTGAAATTGCTAGAAAGCAGCTCAGAGATGAGTCATTTATGAAAATATAACCAGCTGTGTGAGAGACACTGGATAGAGAGACAGACATGAAAATACAGACCAGTTCAGTTTACCTCAGAGGTGGTCGGTATGAATCACGGCATTGAGAAACAACTTGACGCTGGGTTAATCCATTAAAAGTGTTACATGATACACACCTCAACCGCAGAGTGTAAATAAAAGGATGCTGACGGAACAATTAGTCCTTATCTCCTATATTATTTCTGTTCCAGGAATGGAAGAATGGTCGCTTCATACAAGCATGGCAAATCTTGCAATGTTGATTTAAGAACTTCTTAGTTGGAAAACTGTCATTGAATTTTAAAAATCTACTTGATTAGTTGATTATTTCACTGGTATTGCTCTCCCTCCACAAATCAAACTTATCCTGCATAATCTCCTAAAGGGACTGTAGTGCTATTTATCAGTCTAGATTGTTTTGGTGTGAGTTATCAGGTGTTAGAGATAGAGACGCTCATAGAGATGCCCTCTCTCAAATATAATGGAACTAGACGGCACTCAGCTTGAGGGGCTCAGAGCGCAAAAAAAAAAAAAAAAAAAGAGTAAATTGAAAATAATAATAAAAAACATTTGGAAAAAGTCAGCAGCACTGTGTCTTTTCAGAAATCCTGACCCTGTTACACAAGATAATCCACAGACCTTGTTGTGAGCTGTTTCATGCAGGAACTATTTTCTCTCTACCGAACTACACCCACCAACTGTATCACTGCGCAGAAGGAGGAGTGGAGTTACTCAAGGAAGAGAGACTCGTGCTTGTGACAGTGCGAGATGTAAACATTAATGGTGTGCTCCTTGGCTGATGTGTAACATTAGCTAGTGTGAGCTAACAGTAGATGCAACTCACTTCTTTTGGCAAGCGGTGACGATTAAAGGTACAATGTGCACAATATGCCAAAATTCTACGTTAAAATAAAGGAACTTTTTAACTTACACTATTAACAGAATGTGAAGAAGTAACAGTTTAAACTAATGTCAAAGATGTCCATGTATGTGTCCGAGATATCTACTGAAATGAGCATGCTAGCCAGCTAGCCCCGGCCTTTCCTGTCTTGTAATATCACTTGTACCTTGAGAGGTCACTGCAGCATTCAGTCTACCCTCATTCCATCATGAGAGGACGAAGAAGTTGAGCTAGAGCCCACATTTAGTGACACAGCAAACACAATGTACAGCAGCAAAGAAAATAAGTGATATATCTTAAAAAGTAGAAAAACAAGGGGAAGCATTGGTGTGGCTTTTCATCAATGGAGAGAGCTCTTGGCGAGGAAATATCGGCGGTTGGACACTGAACTCAAGTTTGTTCTAGTCTGGTAAGTAACATCTGACATTGGCTTAGCATAATGTATCTTTAGTGCAGCTAATGACAACACAAATCATAGTGAAAAACATTCCAAATGGTTTTAATGTGTTTGTTTTCTTGCTGCTATGGTCTTGCATGAAATGAGAAAGGCAACTAAAGGCTGACGGCATACATGAAGATTGTAAGATAGGAGTGTTATTTTGATTGGCTTAGAGTTTGAGCAGTTAAGTCGAATTTTGTGTATTCTTGCCCTGCTGTTAGTCATTGGCTTTGTTTTTATTTAACTGATGACTCAGTGGTAGATCCATGAAATGCTGCCCCCCATTTCTTTGGAGCATGTAGCCAGGTATTACACATTGCACCTTTGACCTGCAAAGGTCTAGGACTTATCGGAAATGGTATTTGTTAAAGGCTGCTAAAATACCAAAATACTGACTCAATAGTGGCTCATTTTTCAAAACACTACTATCCTCGCATATGAAGCGAGCCACACAACATACTGTTGAGTCAGGCTCCCTTCCAAGCCTGTATTTTTAGTTATTCAGGCTATTAGAAATGTCAACATGATTTTGAGTGAGATTTCTTATTTCTGTAACAGAACCTGGATGTTCTGGTTTACCACAAACCATTTAAACACTGAAAAACTTCTATTTTCATCACAATATTCGCCTCAATTGTTAGTGCACATGTAAACGTAGTAATTTTAAAACCCAACACACCATGTGCAGCATGTTCCAGCAATCCAGCTGCATTTGGTAATTGACTATCGAGGTCCTGCGTTGACCTCACAGTGCCACACAAACAAACGCGCGCACACATACACAACCAGACATGACATGAACAAGCAAATGTGCACTAATCGACAAAGTTAGTTAAACCCCTTAGATAATCTCATACTCAGCACACACCAATGAGTTTAACAATGTGTGGGCGAGTGGTGTCTTCTTTTGGGTCATCAAACTAGATAACATCTCCTGCTATTTCATGCATCATGGGAGAGAAAGGGCTTGTATTTCCTCTTTCTCTGCCTCTCTCTCCGCCTGTCTCTGTTTTCTAGATCAATACCACCCTGTTTATCTTACCAACCTGATATGGCTATCCTCAGCCCAGCCAGCTATTGGTGTGTATGTGTGTATGTCTGTGTGTGTGTTTGTGACTTTGCACGTGTCCCCAGGCAGCGGCAACATTATACGGGCATATAGTTTTCATCTGGAGTAGAAACCAAATCTTTATGCTCCTAAAAATAGAGCGAGCTGTTTTTCTTTTCTCTCCAGAACACATTATACTCTCCATCGCCCTGAGCATTACTGGCCTCTGTTACAAAGTCTCATAGCTTTGGTATGACCCACATTACAATAGTCTGAAAGTCAAAGAAAGGCAAACTGGTGCTGGTGAAAGGTGGCAGAGTCACTTCTTCTCTATAAATGTAGCTAAGTGATGTGAGTTAATAAAACAAGCCGCTACTGAAGTGAGTTATAGGAATAAAAAGGAAGAGTAATCATTGCACAATTGGTGAAAAACTAATTAAAAAACAAACACACACACACACACACACACACACACACATACACACAAACTGATAGACAGGTGGTGTGAATAACTCAGTGAACCAACATCAAGAAACTGAAGGTGTGGAGAGCACACGCTGCGGAGGTGTTTGCATCCATAACCCAGTTTCAGATA